CTAGTTACCTTGCAATAATACACTGCATTCAGAAAAAATCATTATGGAAATCTAAATGACGTTTGAAATACTAGCTTTCATGTAAATACTTACCCGCATCAATCAAGGCAATACCCTTGAAAACTAGCAAAATAGAAAACCAATGGCACATCATGATGGTAAAAAACAGAGACGAGCAGAATCGCTGCAAAGCATAAACAATAAATAATTATGTAATTTATAAGAAGAATTGACAGATTAATAAAGAGAAAATGAAGTTATACAGTAGCGAAAATTCCTTACCTAAATCATAATCAACAAAATGGCCCGTACTGTATTTTAGTACGTATGAAACTGTAACATGGCAGAAGTCTTCGAAAAATGCTATCCTGTTATAATACGCAAACGGCATACTAGCGCCCCATAGTGACACATTTTGCAGTTAGAAAATACAGTCAAAGGAAAATTAAAATAAATAAATAAATAGTTTACGTTTTCTACATAAATACGGGAGAAGAATTCTAACTAAAAATTTACAGTACAATAATATTTGACTGAAAGGGTATTTTAGTAAAGAATATGATTTTGCAAAAGATAAAAATGCAGGTAATGCATTAAATAATCCGCACATGAATACTTAACATAGAAAGAGAAAAATACTCTTTACATCAATATCACAATGAAGACTTCAAGATCACATACAGTTTGAACAAGTGTTTGTTTGAAGTTCATTATTAATGAGTTTAATATCAATTCAGTGCATTTTTTCATCTAAAATATGCACTGATATATTTTCATTGAGTTGCACTTAGTTCTGAATAAATGCTAATTGTAAGGAGCCTGAAATATAGTATAGTATTTAAGATAGAAAATTACGCAAAATACCAATGCATTGACATGTTTTCATTGTATTACATTTAATTATGTAACAAATGCTAATTGCACGAAATCTGAAATATAGTATAGTATTTAAAATAGAAAATTGTGAAGAATAGCGAACTTTGATATGGATACGCCTGGAATATAGAAAATGGGAATTCAATATAATCTAGCAACATGAATGGTCATTAAGTTCGGAATAGAGATAATAATAACTTCATTATTCTTCTTTGAAGAGTCTTACCCTTCATAAGAAGCATGTCCGATTGCTGGTCGAACCCAACTGCGTTGGACACCCGACAGGTATAATTGCCGTTATGTTCTGGAGTCAGATTCGAGATCGCTAAATTCGAATTAAAATCATCAATGTTTCTCACTGTTACTGACTTTTGTTCCTTTATATCATGACCGTCTTTCATCCATAGAAATGTAAAAGGTGGATCACCATCCGTAACGGCGCAAGTGACGGACGTCCTTTTGCCAATTTTGAGAATTCCAGAAAATTGAAATGGTTTGATTTCGGGCTTTGACAGACCTGGAAATTGTAAGGAATGAAATGATACTCATTTTTTCCATTGTACAAAATATTCTTATGATTTAATTTATATTTATTGTAACTTATATAATATTTTTACATTTCCATACTACCAATCTGAATAAATGTAAAATTTTCCTTATTTCTATTTTCCATTTTCCCTCCTCTAATCCAAACTTTAATGGTTAAATCGAATTTGTATCGATATTCAAGCGGTGATGCCACACGCAAAATGACTATAATGGCAATTCTGTTGCTTTAATTCAAAATCTAATAACAAAGATTAAAAAACACTTACTTCGATTAAAAAGTAATTATTGATAATTAGACAGTTATACCACATATGGCGTAGAATGAATGCAATGAACAATCGTCATGCACGGAACGATTTACACTACCTTGTATTAAAGTTAGAAGTTTCTGTAAATGATAAATCTTTCCGATGAATATATAATTGAACAATATAAATTTCATTGAAGTTATAGTATTTTAATCTCCTTGAGCAACAAATTACATAATGTTAATATAAAAATTATTACACGCCTTATTTTATTCATATATCATTACATAATTTGATGCACTATACACTTTTACTGCATAGGATTTTAGTTCCAAGCTTATAAAAGAAGTCTGTAGTCGAAACCGAAAAATCAGATAAAATTATATCGTAACATATCTTCAGGTTGTTCTTTTAGAAAAAGGTTTTTTTTTTTTTTCTGTAATTTGATTTACGTTTTAGAATTAAGAATTTAACGCAAAAGATAAAAAATATATCATTTATTACGAGTAATGCAATTATTTTCCTCGATATACGAATTTTATTCAATTTCAATTTGGTTTAATAAGTTTTTCAGTTTGCAAATTATTCTAATTATAATGCTATACGGGGTTTTAGAAATTCATTAATTTTTTAATTTCCATAATGGGAAAAGTTTCGTATTTTTGCTAATGACTGTCAAAGAAGATATACAATATTTAATGAAATTTTACGTTGCACATATAAAGCATGTATGTATAATTATCCGTAGCATACATAATACAAAAGTTTCCATTCAAATTAGGAATGCTGATATAGTAAAAGTAATGCAAAATATACAAACAAATAATAAGATTTACGTATTAAGAATATTGAAAATGAAATTCAAAATAAGAAATCTAAATATTCCTCTTCTCTCCCGATCTTTATTGTTTAACATTCCATCCTATGTATTAAATTGTAATTTTTTCTAAATTTAAAGCAGATCGAAAAAGTTTATTTTTCAGGTTAATTCCTTTTCGAAATTGGCTAAAGATGTATAAAATATATATCAAGATTTCAAATATATCTAAATATAGAAGATTTCTATATATATCTAAATATAGAACATTTCTACATATAAATATAGAAGATTTTAGAGTAAATAGCTTACTTACTAACCTGTAGTGAGTTCTGTCAGGATGAACATATAAACACATACAGTGAATATATAATGAAACGCTTTCTTCAATACACTGAAAGAGCCAAATAGACTGAGAGCTAATATGCAGTACATATTCAGAAATATAACTAGTAAATCGTAAAGAATGTATAATTATGAGTTGTAACGATACAACTTGGTTACTCAAACACTTTCTTCATACATTTATATAACCTCGCACCAGGCCTTTACACAAAATAAAATTTTGGTAATTTTACGAGATGCGGATTACTAGCGCCACATAGTGACAACAACTGGAATAAAAAGCATATTAAACTTATAATAACACAAATTTCAAGAAAACATTCTTTAATCACAGATTTTAACACATTTCTAAAAATGCTAACAGTGGAAAAACAATTAAATTTTTTTTCAGTGTCGTTATATGTCCAAGCTATGGACAAGAATGAGTATTCATCTAAAACATAAACGAGAAATATGAAATACATTTTAGGCGATAACGAATTGCTTTTACTGAAAATAAAACAAAATTTTGAACAATATTTTCCCAGCGGCAGAAGTTCTTACTTAGTTGATAGGTTAACTAAACATGGTAAAATAAGTAAGGTTTTCTTGTCTTGGAATTTGATTGAGGATGTTTTGCTTATTATCCACTCAGCAGCTGGAAGTGTTTTAATTTCGCGGTAAAACTGTTAACATTAAAAATAAAAATAGCATTAAAAATTAACGGCTAATTTGCAAAATTTACTTACAAAATAATTCTGCATAAAATGTTTTAAAACACATGTTTTCAAAACTCAAAAGATTTCCCAGACAATAACATTATTACATAAAGAATTCCAAATATCGCATGTGATTTGCAACTACCTACAGACAAGTTTATAACCAAAATCCATCTGTTGGTTACAGAATCATTCATTAAATAAATTTTTACCATACCATACAGTTCCAACACTCACTTAATATCCTTTGATATTTTGTATGGCATATTCTTGGGACGTTTTTTCATGATAATTTCGTTGATGATGTATTAAACGTACTGTTTAAGAATGGTCCTTAACCTAAGCTTGTTGTTTTAAAATTTGTTTCCAAGAATTTTCACTTTTTAGAATCACATGGCTGAGAATATTCGCTGCATATAATTTCAAAGAAAAATAAGCTTGCATTTACGAAGAAAAAATCACGATACGAAGATAAAAAGTAACTACTGGTAATGAAAAATTAAATATTTGTAAAATTTTAGTACATACTATCTGTTATTTAAAGGCGAAACTTTGATCAAAGTAAACTTAGATTAAATTAGAAATTTTTCACACATGTACATTTCGCACTAATAAAATCATAAAATTTTGTAAGAATGACTATATTTTTGCATGACCGTATTTTTGCACATTTTACGACACTGAACAAAAAAAAGCATTGCTAGAAATAAGAAATGGCAAATTTATTTGGGATCAGCTTTTCACACAAAACAATTAATGAAAAGCTAACTACAAAATTTAACAACTTTATATATATTCAATCCCCCATTGTTAACCAATTACGTCCGCTACAGAGGAAATATAAAACAAAACTAAGCAATATTCATAATCAAACTTTCTTTATTCTGTCACATTTATCCATCATAAAAACATCAACTTTTATAGATATATAAACGAAAAGTGGAATTTTATGAATTCGTGAAAATTTAAAAACCATAACATTTTAAGACCTGTTTCGACGCCTTTAGTTAAGAGCAGTTAATGTTAGCTGAATAGTTACATCTATTAGCCTTATTAAAGTTGGTCTTGAATATATATTAAAAACCTATATCCATTTGCAACAAACATTAAAAAAAGAACAAACAACAGATATCGTTAATGTGCATAAACGTATATACACTTTGCTCAAACTTATTCGGTAAAAAATTATACCCATTGTAAAAAAATACATATATTTTGAGTGGACACACCTATATATGAAAAAGGATAACTAGAAGTTTCTTAATGAATATACAAATGGATATTTCTTCGGTAAAGTTGTCCCATAAAAAGCGAAAGAAATATACGCATCTAAATATCACAATCCTGTGATCGGCCAGACACTTTTGTGATCGAGTTTTTGGCCTTTATCTGCTATAAAAAATAGCTACGATAATGGAAAAGTCAAAATTAATGAAAAGCAATTTAAAAAAAAGCTTGTTTTCTTACTCTTCATTAACAACATTTCGGAATACTGATCGGTTCCAGCAACATTCGAAACACGGCACGTGTAGTTTCCATTGTAATTTGGTCCCAAGTTTGTGATTGCCAGATTCGAAGTATAGTCGTCCATTTTTCTCATCACAACTGTGTTACTATCGGTGATCTCTTGACCATCTTTGAACCAGGTAAACTGGAATGGAGGATCTCCATCAACGACTGTACAGAACACAGAAATTCTTTTGCCACTTTTCAGCACTCCAGAAAAGTGAAATGGTTTAATTTCTGGCTTGTTTTCACCTGAAAAATTTTAAATACATTTTCATTTACAATAAATATTTATTAAACAGAAGTATGGTTAATTCTTTTGCAAGTACACTGCACTCAGATTGCTACATAATTGTTCTAGATGTGTTGTGACTAACCGAAGTTTTGCAAACATTCCAAGAGAGTATTCAATCATATATCGTCAAGTTTGAAGTATATATTAGAAAGCAATTATTTTCATATCACGGCACTCAATAATCATTCGAGGTAATTCATCTAATTTCTAATGTCTAGAAAGAACTTTAAGCTTATAACTTATTTATCATAATAAAATAGAAGAAAAAATACAGTGCCGTCCATTAAAATTGCTACACCATGAAAGGAACATGCTACAAACGTCAAATAACCTGCCTACTACATGCTAAGGTATTACATGCTGGTATATACAAATGCTTAGCATTCCAGCATAAAGCAGGTATGATTAACGCCATTTACAGTATGTATAAATCAGAAGATTGCACAACGCGTTTCTCATTTGAAAATCGTATTCGAACTTTGGTTGTTTGTGTAGTCATATTATACCTCGTATAAGAAGAAGACATTCCCCACCAACACATATAGGAATTAATACGGGCTGGATCATGGCTTAATGTAATTTCCTTTTACTACTCTGCGACATTGCTGATTGTGTTAGTTAAGCTTCCATACTTGCTAAGGAATTTCAAATCGATGGGTCCAGAATGGCATACTGAACTCAATTGCAGGATCTCAACGGCCTGGAACACTAACGCCAGACATTTTATCCTCTCGTGGCCTTGCAGGATCATATAGCCACGTCATGTACCTTGAGTCAGGAATTTGGCTCGTCGGTAGGACGATAAGTGTCTGCACGGACAGTGCGATGACGGCTGTTATATCCCGCGTTGTCAGCACAGCAACCATTGTTGAGGCTTCCACTGACGCTGCAGCATAGACAGATGTGCTTACAATGGTGCAGCGAACGATGATACTGGACACATAAGTATTTCCCCGTCCCCTTTTTCAGATGAATCCCGATTCTGCATACAGCATCATGACGGACATATCTGCGTATGGAGGCAACAAGGAGAACGAACATTGCTATTTTGCATTTATCATCCGGCACCGCTAGTATGGGATGCCATTGGGTAAACATTTCGGTCAGCACTTGTTCACCTAGCCAGTAATATGGACAGCTGCCGTCACATTCTAACGAGTAAAGGCCCGTGGCTGTGCCCTATCTTCTAGGCCTGTGTGACACCATTTTTCAACAAGATAATGCCCGACTGCGTGCTGCCGGTGCTATCCTGACCTTCCTCAGTACATAGAGTGTTCAACTATTAGCCAATCAGCCCGTTCTCCAGATCTCTCTTCCATTCAGAACTTTTGGCCATGGGTCGCCAAGAAACTGGCACACCACCATTCGTTAGTCAAATAAGATTGATAAACTCTGACATACAGTTAAAGCAACTGACAACCCGTGGTGTATCATGTGATGAAGTACCCGCATCTACTATCTAAGCTCAAGATTGACTCGATGCCGATTATGGCTGTTGTTTCTGCCAGAGGTGGTAGCTCTATGTACTGAATTCTCTACACTGCGTACCTAAAACCACCTACAAGTGTAATCATGTCTTACTCCCATTATACTGTACAATAAGATCCTGCTCTTTGCTTTCATTGCTGATGTAGAAATTTTAATGGCCAGCAGGGTAGGAAAAAATTTCATTTCACTTAAAAATAAATGAAAATCAAAAGCCATCATCTACAAAAGGTAATACAGGCTTCAACAAAAGTAAACTGCCGCAGCGTACTTCTTAGATTTGAAATTTGTTTAGCATAAGGATCTCATCTGCATACTGAGATAATTAAGTAGTATATCTTAATCAATTAAAGAAGAATAAAAGTCTATTGGTATAGAAACTCAGAGCAAGACACCCCATTTCGGCGTAAGACGATTAAAAAGAGTTAAAAGAAAATTTATACTTAAGCGATAATTGTTACGGTAACTGGAAATATGCAGATACGAAAATAATCATGATAGTTGGCGTGAGAGTAAACAAACAATAATTTAGGATATATATCACGTCTATTATTTCAGATTATTGCTTTGTTCTGAAAACTTATACGAAGTGTTCTTAATTTTGTTCGAAGATGGGATAATAACTTAGCTCTCTAATTTAAGAATATCAATTGTCCGTTTCCTGAAACGCCCAATAATGCTAGCGTCGGCCTGTGACAGAAGCACAAATAACAAAGTTCTTAAAATACCAACGGTGTAACAGGTACAGAAGATACTTTGCTGAAAATTCATAAGCTATATTTGAGTCAAAATTAAAGAGGACTTGTGCGGTACATAGTGCAGTAGACCTGATTATTTTAACTCAAAGAGTACCTTTGACTTCCGTATTTAATATTTTTATGATTATATATATATTTGTGGATGTAATGGTTTGAAAGCATGAGAAAGGTGCTGCCAAAAGAAGGAATTATTGTTAAGGAAAGTTTCGAATATTTTTACATTTTTAAGGAAAACTTTCTTCTTTATTCTCAAGTTGAAGCAGATATTTCTTTCTTACATGATCGGTAAAACATCAAATAAATTTTGGTTGGCTTATTATTCTATATGGTATTTCAATGTGATATTCTATTAATTGCAGTACGGAGTTTATCAAATATAAATTGCACATTACTGTATTTTTTTAGGGCAGCATATGCATAGTTAACAATTTCGCACCGAGAAGCTCTCACATACTAGAGAAAGTTGGTTCCAAGAATTTCGCTCTTCACTTTTCTTAATTTGCTGGGATTTAGCCAAACCCATTTTTATGTTTAAAGAGCTATTCTATAAATAATTATATCAAACTGCGTAATTAATATGTCAGTTAAGATTATTATAAAACGAATGTCGTCAAACACACGCAAAACAATATCGTTGAAACATTAAGTTACGTACTTTTCCACGTCTACAAAATTATCTAATGAAGTACATACTAAGTTAAAATTTTCTTACTCTTGTTTCAAATTTAATTCAAACCAAATAAAAATATTATCTAAACTTTTGAAACAAAGGACTTTCTTCCTTTCATAGCATAGATGACAAAATTTATCTCTCATAACATAGAGCAGTATCATAAGTTTTAGAAATTTCGTCACTCGGGTGATCTATGCTCAGTCAATCCTCGCTGCATGAATTGCGCAGGAGAACTGCAAAACAGATCATTGCTCACAAGGTGAATTAAAAATTGAGTTCTTCAGTTCTTAAGTTCAGTAATTTTTATACAGGCATTGTTCTTTATTTCCCAAATCGACCGAAATTCCAGCATCCAAGCGAGATTAGCTTTTGCTTACCGAAACAATACTCTCCCCCTTCCTACTAAACCTCATAATGCTTCCACCCAATAAAATGTTGTTGATAGTAATAACTATACCAGTCCGCGCAACTATAATTCTAACCCAAATATTGATATTCAAAATAACGGTAATATTAGTGGTATGCTAAAAATATTTAAGGCAGTGTTTCTTAACCTGTGGTTCATGGACCGCTTGGGGGTCCATGGGTCATATTTTGGGGGTCCGCCGATTGCTCCTAATTTTTAAAATGTTTGCATCAACATTTAAAAAAAAATTTTTTTTTTTCACGGGCAACCTCTGTAAGCCGTCTATCTGCCATTTCCCAATAATAGAGACCTCCGCAATACGAGGAAAAGAACATTCGCAAACCATATAAAATTTGAAATTTTTAGAAACACAAAGTAGCCTTTGAATTTTACTTCACTTGGAAATAAAGTGACGTTAAAATCAGTTCTGCAAAGTTCTTGCAAATTTTTAAAACAAAATATTTGTTTTACTTTTTCATAAGTTGTAATTAAAATATTTTTTTCAAGTGTTTTTTTTTTTTTTTTTTTTTTTTTTTTTGTGTGTGTGTGTGTGTGTGTGTGTGTGTGTCTTAATGTTTGTTCTTAATGTTTCATTTGATTATTTGATACTTTTTGTAACCCAAAATGTCCAAAAAAAGGAAGTATGATGAAAATCATGTAAAATGTGGATTCTGCTGCATGAAGAAATCGGACGCTGTTGAAAAGCCACAATGCTTTCTGTGTGGAAAGGTTTTGGCAAACGCCAGTATGAAACCGGCAAAATTGATAGAGCATCTCAAATCTCTTCATCCTCATAATGCATCTAAAGATCTAGAATTTTTTACAAAGAAGAAAGCCCAGTTTTCGAAATCTGGAACATTAACCAAACTTGGATTTGGTATTTCACAAAAACCTTTGGTTGAGGCATCTTTCAGAGTTGCATATATCGTATTGCCAAAAGTAAGAAACCGCATACTATTGGAGAGACATTAATTAAGCCATGTGCGCTGGAAATGGTTGAATTAGTTTGTGGACTGGAACAGAGAAAAAAACTTGAGGCTATTCCATTGTCCAAGGATGTGATACATTCAAGAATAGTTGAAATTTCTTGCAATATCTTGAAACAGATCATCGATGAATTGAAAGCATCGCCATTTCCCTTTAGTATGCAACTGGATGAAACTACAGACATCTCGAATTGTAGTCAACTTCTTGTTTTGTTCGTTACGTGTCTGCTGATACTATCAAAGAAGAATTCTATTTTGTGAGCCTCTTTTGCAAACTACAAAGGCAGTTGATGTTTTAGCGATTTTAAATGTTTTCTTTTCCAAACACGACTTTGACTGGAAACAAAAACTTCATTCACTTTGTACGGATGGAGCACCTGCGATGCTTGGCAATAAATCTGGCTTTGCCCATTTGGTAAAAAAAAAGAGGCTACTAATGTTATTGTTACACATTGTTTTTTACATAGACATGCACTAGCTACAAAAACTCTTCCAACCAGTTTAAAAGATTGTCAATAGTTATTAAAACTGTGAATTATATTAGAAGTAGAGCTCTTAATCATAGTCTTTTTACTGTGTCACTGTGTCAAGAAATGAACGCAGAACATGAGGTACTTCTGTACCACACGGAAGTGCGCTGGCTGTCACGAGGGCAGGTTTCGAAACGAATTTTCATGTTGAAGACAGAAGTATCACTTTATTTAGAAGAAAAAAATAACTCACTCTTCGAATATTTCAAGAAAAAAGATTTTAATGTAAATTGGCTTACCTGGCAGACATTTTTAACCACATGAACGATGTATGTCTTTCAATTCAAGGGCCTGATACAACAATTATGGATGCCACTGAGAAACAACAGGCATTTTTATTGAAAATGTCACTTTGGAAAATAGAATTCAAAATGGGATATATGCAAACTTTCAAATGTTGGACGAAGTGCTTTTTGAAAATGGATCTCGGAGGAAAGATAGTTTGTTATTGAATAACTTGAAAAAAAATGAAATCTGTGAACACCTGGAAGTACTTCAAGTTTCATTTGAAAAATACTTCAATTCGGATGAAAAAAATATAAAAGATGAGTTGTGGATTCGTAATCCTTTTCTTTGTGATATCGATGACATGAACCTTGCCAAAGATGAGCTTATTGATTTGAAAACAAAGTCCTTGTTAAAAATGGATTTCGATTCAAAAACTCTTGGAGAGTTTTGGTCTTCTTTAAGGAAAGCCTACCCATTGCTTGTAAAACGAGCTATGGCAGCCAATATTCCGTTTGCTACAGTATATCTTTGCGAAGCGGGATTTTCCACACTTGTCACAATAAAAACAAAACCTCGAAATAGACTGAATGTCGAACATGATATGCGCGTTGCTTTGTCGAAAACCATCCCTCAATTCAATCTGTTAATCAAGGAAAAGCAGCAACAGCCTTCACATTAAAAAATTTTAATTTCTTCAAATTTTTTATACTATTGAAATAAAAATATTAAAATAATTAAATAATAAAACAGAATATATTTTGTAATAAATTATGTTTAAGCAATTTTTTTTTCACACAGGGGTCCGTGACATATTTAAAATTTTTAAAGTGGTTCATTGTGCCAAAAAGGTTAAGGAAAGCTGATTTAAGGGCATCTTCCTCTCGGCGTTCTTATATCTAATATCAAAAACAAACTCTCTGATATTAAAAAAAAACAACTGCAGATCCATTCGATAAAATGTTTTTGTTACTCCAAATATGTGAAGAAATTATAATTTCTCAATCATAAGAAGCATTCTAAAAGTGTCATGTGGAATGCAAATGATTTAACCTATAAAATCAAACTTCAGGTTTCCTTCTACTCCGCTTCAGTCTGCCACATTTATAATTCTGTAGCTTTAATTAGTAGTCTGTTTACTTCTTTGCTTACTTTACGCTTACGTAGTTAAAATTCTCATTTAACACTTTTTCCTTGCCTTGGGTTATATCCTTCATGCCATTTCACATCAGGAACTCTCACGACAACTCTCATTTGTTACTCTAAAGTCGATTATCTTGGTTCTTTGTAAGAATTATCGCTTAAGTATATATTTTCGTTTACACTAAAGTTGTCTTACGGCGAGATCGGGAATTTTGCTGTGAGTTGCTATATCAATAGACTCTCATTCTTCCTTAATTAATCAAGATATACTATTTAATTATCTCAATATGCAGATGAGATCCTTATGCTAAACTATACAGACATTAAGTATTTTTGGAAGCATAAGCAATCGCCTTCGCCGGGAATCGAACCCCGGACCTCTGGAATACCGGCTTAGTGTGCAGAACCACTATACCACGAAGACACGCTAGGAATGCGAGAGAAATACCTTATATACTCCCCCTTTTAAAGGACGACTAGTGTTTTTAGAGGACCTTATCGCCAAATCCTGGGTGAGGAAAATCACCATCCTACACCCTTTTAGTTAGGGTGCCACTGTAGAGACATTAGGTATTTTTTGGGAAAGCTGGAGAGATGAAAAATTAGCAACCGCCTTCGCCGGAAATCGAATTCTAAAATACCGGCCTCTAAAATACCGGCCCAGACCTCTAAAATACCGGCCCAGTGTGCAGAACCACTACACCACGAAGGTACGCTAGGAAGGCGGGAGAAATACCTTTTGAAACAAATTTCAAATCTAAGAAGTATGTTGCTGGCAATTTACTTTTATTGAAGCCTATATTGACATATTCAACAATCTTAACAGACCAGTTATTATACGAGTCACTACCACTTTTCTTAAAACAGTAATAATTGAAGTTTTTGGTAAGAGACTACTCCTATTCCAGCTGTGCACTGAAATGCTTAAAATCTTTAGCAAATACTTCATCTTTATGCATACATGGGAAATGTTTGTCACATGCATCATATTCTGCTTGAAATCTCAGCAGTTGCATTATATACATTGTGTTTTCCAGCCCTCTTGAGTTGATTAGTAGTCTGTCCTCTCTCTTGAATGCTTTTATAAAGTATCAAGTATCTGAAGAAGCAGCTAAGGCGATTTTCTTGATTTCTTGAAAGCGAGCGTCAGTTATTTTATGCATAACGTTCGTAATTACTTATTATTAATGATAATTATCTTTGCAAGGTTGAGCAAACGTATTTGCAACTTCTGATATGTAAATCGTTCCTTGATCTTATTCTGTAGATTATTCTTATTCTGTACCCCTCATTTCAATGGTCAAATATGTGATTAGTTTTGCAATTTTGAGGTGAACATTAAATAGAATGAAAGTACAATGCATCCGCATTTCATTTCAATAATTTTGACAAAGTTTATGAATGCTTTTGGCATCGATATTAATTGCAGTTTATTTTATAAGCTCTAGTCTTTTGTTTAGTTTTTGGAAATTTGCATTCATTTTTAATATTGTGCCAAGTATGTTGACGGAAAATGTCTTGAATATTTTCATTGATTTACAATCTGTTTAAACTGTCATTTCGTGATGTGATTTATTAATTCAATAGCTGAGAAATCTGTAGATATCAGTGCACTAAAATTACTTACAGCCTTTTGTAAATTTCTTAAAATTCATTTAAGGTTTGAGAATAAAATAAGACATAAGCTGAAGAAAAGGAAGTGTAATGGTTAAAAGCAATTTCCTCTAGTAAGAAATTAATAAAGGGAATTAAAAGGTATCTGATTCTTCTATTTCTCAAAATACTTTTTGCAAATGTATTAAAATGTTAAATTTTCATCTTTAAGAAAGAATTAACGTCTTTCAAATATTGAGAAGAATTAAAAAAGGTTGCGTTTGTTTTGTGTTTCTGATATGTATGAATTCTTAGATTCGTATTGCAAAATTTTTTTCATATTAGAATTCTTTCTGGATGCCTTTGGAAAACCATCAATCTTATTTCAATTTCGTATTCAACTTTATGATCAAATTCTTAAATTTTATCCTTTCTTTTATAGCGAGTTGCATATTGTTAATATTGCATTGTGTCTCAGGCTATGCTCATCAAATTGATGCAATATAAGAATCGAAAAAGATATTTTTTCTGTGTTCATGGACCCTTCACCAGTTATAACATTTGCACATGCTTTTCTTAACTAAGCTGACAGATATGATAATTTTAGTTATATTAATCATAAACCATTCAAAATTTATTACGCATGAACATTTGCTTAAGGCATCTATTACGAATAATTATCAGAGTCTAACAGTTGGATATATTGTCAAAATGGAAATTTTTCAGAGTTTTATTAATAGTGGAGAACTGAAATGCTATCTTTGTTATCTTATCTTAACTTGTTTTATTCTGAAACTAAATTAAACCTATAACTTTGATGTTTAAATTTATAGATCATAGTATCAAATCAATTATAGGTAAGTATTTCAATATAAACTGTTAAAATTTATTATGTATGATGACTTATTTATGAAAATCTACTGATCTATTGAGAATATTGTACCACGTAACTACTAAATATAGACTATTGTGTATTCGAATATGTGGTTTCAGGAAAAAAGGAAGAAAATAGACGTTGGGTACATGGAGACTTGAGTATTTTCGAACCTACACGAACAGCCTACAGTTTTACAAATTTTGTAATGTACAAAATAATTAACGACAATTCTACGAATCAAAATTTAGTGCCTTTTTATCAACTTGTAAATAATTTTAAACATCAATTCATTTTTGATCCCCCATTTAATTCTAAAGATATAATTGCTGAGATTTCTGCGGTGTTCGACTATAATCTATAGCCACAATAAAAACACGTTTAACTGTTAAAAGAGTTAAGAAAAATTCAAAATTTTAATAGTCTTTAATCTATGTAAAATAATTCTAAAGATATTTTTAAAAACAGGAAACAAGACTTGCCTGTGCAAGTAGTAAAATATTTCAAGATAAAACTTACCTACTAGTCCGTATACAATAGCAAAATACAGAGACAAACATATATCCAACACCAAAACTTGGGAGACATTCATATTTTCAAGTTTGATCTGTAGGAAAAAAGAAATCCCATTCAAGTAAATTTTTATCTTACTAGGATATAATTAAGAATTTGAATAAGTGGATAAAAAATTTACCATGTAATTACTGCAGCCAACTGTGGTTGATCGCGCAATGACGCTATCATGGAACTGTACTAGACAGAGAAGAATCATGACTATAAGGATGCTAGCGCCACATAGTGTTGAAGAAACGAGATAAAACAAATCTGACAATTTGTTACATATCATATTTTGAAATGACAATACCTTTCTTTCAATATTTAGAGTACAAAATATTATTACACAGTCGAAAGTATGAACAGCTGATTATATTAAATGAATGTTTACAATGTTTTTAATGGACGTGTAGAAATTATTAGAATTTAGATAATTGTAATTTCTATGAGTGCAGGACGTGCATTTTTCTATGCAGGAAGTATTTCAGGGAAATAATAAACAACGCATATTATTAAAAATCTGCATTAAATTTAAACCAAATTATTAGAAACGTTCCAAAATCAGGATTTCTCTTGGAAAGAAGCCGCTATTTTCATAGAATTTAATTTATTAAAAAGTTTTTAATTAAAATAAATATAATGCTAAATAAAGTGTACAGATATAACAATTTAGAACTGGTCTAAAGTTAAATCAATGAAGTTGTTAAAATTTGTAATTATTCACTAATTAAAAAAGGCTATTACCTACTCTTGTTAAATCATTGACGGCAATTAAGCATTTCAATTCACGTTTCTAAGTTTTAAAATTCTTTAAGCAAATCTATATGGTGCCATAAATTTTCGCATATATATTCGCAAAATTCATGTTACGATCAAAAAGCAAGAAACTGTAAATACAACATTTGCAAGTTTCAAACACACATGGTTGTTGTTTTAATGACTGTCATTAAAAATTTCCGAATTTCTTTGGAAAAAATATACGAAGATATAAGCAAAACAAATTTACTTAATTTACCTTCAATAAAAGTTTGAATTTAAGCTACCGAATATCGAACATTGCTTCTTTATAGAAGATTGAAAATTCTATATAATCTAGCATTGTATCCCATATAATAATGATGAATGTCATTATGAACAACTGAAATGCACAATGCCACCAGTAAAAGCGGAACAAGAAAAAAAAATCAAAATGATGGAAAAAAAATGTACCATCTGCTGCTAACCTTTCATAAGCAATGCATCGGAGTGAGCCGCGCTTCCGTACTGATTGCTAACTTTACAAGTGTAATTTCCATTACTTTCGGGGCTGAGTTTCTTGATAGACAAAACGGAGTTGAAATCGTCCACAATCTTCGTTGAAAGGACATTATTTGAGTGAATCTCGACACCATCTTTAGACCAAGAAAATGTGAAAGGTGGTTCTCCATCGATGACAGCACAAGTGACTGAAGACCTCATGCCCAAACGCAAGTCTCCAGAAAATTGAAATGATTTGATTTTCGGTTTGGAATCATCTGAAAATATAAAATTTTCACGAAGATAATACTTACAGATTTCAAACGATGTTATTTAAACAAAAATAATTTATTATAAAAGGCAATGCGACATGAGTTTCAAAATATACATGGCTAAAGGCCATTCGCAATATACGAATTAGAATTTTAACATTAAATTAAAACTAACTCATAACTAAAATTCTATTTAGAGTTTTAACATCTTTATCTATTAGATCTTATTCGACTAGAGCAGTTATAAGAAAATTTGTGTTTTCATCAATGAACGGAAATTTCAAATCGTTCTATTTCAGTTGCAAGATGTTCCTCGAACTACTCAGGTAGAGTTTAAAGAATTGCGTTCTTGTGCCTGTAGGTGATCAAGCCTGCATCAGGAAGAAATACATACAGCGTATAGTCGTAATAATGTAGACAATCGTCAATGGCTGAATCATTACTTTCCTTGTACAGTTCTCTGATGTTGTGCTGACGTAGCTACACGTAACTTCTAATTCATTACAGATTATCGTTTTCCAAATTCGAGATAAGAACATGTCCCTATAGTTTCTATCTACTTTTCATACGTTATTTACATAGCAACCTGGTTTTCTTTCAAGCTATTGTTAATGGAATGCAAAATTTATCTTACCGAATCTTGTTGACAATCCTGTGGATGTTATTCGACATTAGTCTAAGGATTTATAACTGGACGTTTTGATGCTCTGGATAATGCGAACAAAAGAAAAAGCCTGAGTTTTTTCTGTCACTTTGATAATCTTCAGCATGTAAACAAAAAGTGGCTTCCATTTTATGGAGTAATTTTCCACCTTTACTTCGATTAACTGTTCAATTATATGGATCAAAAAAAGTCTTATTTTCTTTGCTTTCATTGGAGCTGTCTAATAATTCATTGGATCTATCTAATGTGTATAAAATTATTTAAATCTATATCTTTCGTGACATAATGTACTTTTAAGAGAAAAGCAATTTTTATGGGTTGCTGTAGGTTTAATGAGATCAAATTAATTAATTAGTTAATTTATTAAACTTTTCCCTTTAGTATTTTAACAACAGCAATAAGTAAAGAAAGAATTTTCGAACTCAGTTATGGAAATGAATTTAGATCAGTTCTTCATATTTTTATTAAAATAAATGTATTTAAATACAAGGTAGAATAAAATTTTAACTGTATATATTAGATCTATCATTAACACATAATGAACTAGCTTTATACTTTGCCTTACCCTTTGTTCTTAGTTAACAAATGGCAGCCAACTTCTAACTGCATATTAGTTTCCTTATTCTCATGATAGATTTTTCAAAATACCCTTTATTTATAAAAATCCAAAACTTTTGCACAGTTTTAAAACTTGTACAAAAATGTCAAAAATTAAAAACTGTCACAAATTTTTAGGAATGTAATAAAAGAAACCAATCATAATTTAAAGACTTGCTTTTTCTTAGCCGTAAAATAATAATAATTTGTCACAAGCAGAAATTTGCATTTCATTTAGATAAATTAAAAGAAATAATTTTGCTTTGTCTTAAGCAAGATTTTTAATATATTTAATTCCGTTTTTCCTTTGCTAATTTTTAATGCTTGCTGGTTGCAATAAGAGACTTAAAATTTCCTAAAACACTATTTTGCCCATGCGGCGTGTAATTTTTTCCAATGTGAAAAATGTGCATGCATGCAGTATTTTTTTTCGCTAGATTGATGTCAAGTGATCCACACAGTGACATTTCACGAAATTTAATGAACTGATCTGAAAGCGTAAAGGTGAGGTATAGAAATCACTTACATTACAAATGTGGCACCACAATTTAGTAGCCCTTTACATATTATTCAAGTATTAGTAACAATAGTATAACGTGTCGCACAGAGTCTATTTTAAATGTAGTATTTTTTTTTTTTACCATCACAGTTGTTTCAAAATAATGCTTACACTTTGGCTTACTTAAGACTAAATGCAGAGAAATTTAAAATTTCAAAATCTTTCAGATGAAACAAATTTTTCATCTTTCTACATTCACCTGAATCTTACTCAAGAAAGTTTAAGCAAATAAAATATGAGTGCAACTTTTATTGAAATTACGATAAAAATTAAGCAGAGTTATTTTTAACTCAGATTTGAAGTGTTGTAATAATTAACCACATAAAATAAGCGAAAATTCAAATGATGTAAAATTGATGATTTCACACAAAAGAACTTACCTGCCGATAGTCGAGCAATAGCTTCTGTGAGAATAAACAACTGAAGCCATTCATATATCCTCGCACAAAACATATTTCTAACGTCTAATGAAATTATTTAAGCCTGTGAATGAGAAATTCTCGTAAAAAATCAATCTTTAAGGAATTTATCATAAAACAATTCACCATGAGTTATATATGACTTACCAAAAGCATAAGCCTTGCATCTAGATATTCTGCTGAAACAAACTGAGTCATGGCAGTCAGATACTGAAAATGGTCATCCACTTGAACGGCATACTAGCGCCACACAGTGACAAAATTTGAGATTATAAGCGATTAAAATGAAAAAAACATTAAATTCAAAGACTTATAATGAAACGTAGTTTAAGAAACCGTTTTGTGATATTTAGATCTACACAAGTGTGCAAAATATTGCTATTTCTTTCATGTAACTGTTCTCTCGTCAGAAATAAACAGGATGATGCAGATCTCATGACAAACATAACAAAAATGGTTTTCAAGATTAATCATTGCAATAACGCATAGTAAACGATCTATTTTTTCATCATGATCAACAATTACAAACTAACTTTTGTATTAAAATGCCTTTTACGCAAAATGTAAAATTACTTTTAAAAAAAATTCTGAATCAGGAATACTCAACATTTTGTACTATAAAAATGTGTTTTTTGCCAATACTTAAGTGTCTATGAGTAAGATCAATGATCCTTTACACATGGAAAATTTCTATTTTCTCAAATGATGCAAATTAAATATGTACAAAGTTTTCAGAGAAACTGACTATATGTTTTATTAAGCATTGTGAACGCTAGAAATGTATTTCTAGTTGCAGTGTTTCTCAATGTAAGCTACAGCATTTCAAGAAAACAGTTTCAGCTCTCAAGTTAATGGATCTGTAATGAACTACTGACGAGAAAAGCTAATAAGAAGGGTTTTTTTTAACAGTCAGTTACGTGATATGCTTATATGTTTTGGTGACTTTAAACGGAAAATTCTGACGATGTGAAATTGGGCTGATATTTGAACCTACAGCGCTAAAAATTTGTAGTATTAGGCTCCGTTACCTACCAAATACCGAGATGAGTAATCGATTCGATTATTTCCTATTTTAAAATAGGACTCGAAACTATGATCTTGACAATATCATCCGCTGAAGCATCTGAATACGACCCTGTGCTTTCTCATAATCTCAACCGCTTTTGCCTCGTTTGAATGGTAACAAGCGTAATTTATATTTGAATATATAAGAAACAAGCATACTAATAAAAATCCATTTCAATTACTATTAATTTCATAGTAAGATGTTTTATTACTTAAGCACGTAAAATTTAACTGGAATAGATTTTATTTATACAGAACTGGTCATATGGTATAAAATATCAAAACCTCAAGAGCTGTATACCATTGCGTTACATGTAGATACTAAAAATTTGTAAATTGTAAATATTTCTTCTCACTGTAACATTCATTATATATGAAATCACATAGAGCTGAAATAGCGCATTAAAACAAAGTAATTATGCTATTTTCAAGCATTTTTTAAAAGTATGATACAAAAACCACAAAACACAATAGTAACAATACATAGAGTTAAAATAACGCCCCGAAGAACAATTATTTTAGAACTCAAACAACAAAAATCAGGGTTATATCCTGGAAAATTCGAAACTACAACTCTGATATTTGTTATTTGGCTACTAAAATACTTAGAGCATTGTAAAATATGGCAAAAATAGTAGGAATTTACTAATTTATACGAGGATAATGTGCGATACGTATGTGATACACATTTTTGATATTGCCATTTTTATATATCATGTATATGTCTAATTAATGACATGGTACCTTTTGTGTTTCTGAACATTTCTGTGATTTAGATGTTTTGTAATTTCGGCTCACATTAAGCATCAAATTTGAGAACAGAAGTGCCAACTTAAAGATATAATCAAGGCAAAGCTATTTTGAAATTTATACTCCTCTTTTGTGAATAATTTTCGCTTAATGATGAGAGGGCAGAGAAATCCGTTAATGTGAAGCAATGGTTCAACTAAACATTTGAAAAAAAATTACTGTGGCTTTGACAAATAGAAGTTTTCTCAAAGTACCAAAGAAAACGTTACTTACATTGCAACACTAGTTAAATAATATACCGAACGTCTAATCTTCTTAAACATGCATTTAAAAAAATTGTTTGAAAAAACCTTACATTTATATTATTCAGCATCATCGAAGTGATGTGCTGTTTTGTTGCCGTGGATACTGTTCAAATGTCAACTGAGCAGTTTTGATGGGCTTCTGGTGACCTTAGCAAAAGTAACTGCAATTAGTCTCATTACAGTTTTGTTATAAAGATTTAATCTGGTATGAAATCTCGTTTGAATTTGAAAATTACACAAAAGAAAGAAAACTAAATGCGCTGGATCATGTAATGCTTTTGAGCAGAGCTTTACAAGAATGTAATGATACGCATATTGTGTAAACATTGAAATTTCATAGAAGAGTACAATTCTTAATTATTTTTCACAAATATTAATAATAAATAAATCTTTACATTACAACAGCGTTGTAAGAGGAGAATGAATGTATATCACTCATTCAAAGAAGAAGCATAAAAGAAATCTTACTCTTCATTAACAGCATACCGGACTGCTGGTCCATACCAGCCCCATTTGTGACGCGGCAGGTGTAGTTCCCGTTATGTTCTGAACCCAAATTTATAATGGCCAGATTCGAAGTGTAGTCGTCAATTTGTCTTATCATCAGAGAATTACTCTCGATGACTTCATCACCATCTTTAAGCCAGGAGAATTTGAAAGGAGGATTTCCGTCTGTTACAGCACATATCACAGACGTTCTCTTACCAGCTTTCAAAATTCCAGAAAAATGGAATGGCTTAACCTCCGGTTTAGTGAAAGCTAAAATCATAAAATTTAAATTGAATTCTTCTTATAGAGGAGAGAAAATCAGCAAAAGTTTTAAAAAATATCCTATCCAGCAACTTACGTTCAGATTTGTTAATAGTAAATTCTTCATTATTTACACGAAGAAATAAGAAACGCATCAAGAAATTATAAATAAATTAGTCAACACGTATTCTAGTTCCGCTATACGTTTTCTGCTTTTTGGTTATTACTCAATGAGTTATGAGTTAACGAGATTTTATGCAATATTTGTACGCGTTTCATTAAACTTTCCAAGATATTAAAGAACCAGACTACAACACATTCATAATTAAATTATATTTAAAAATTATGTTAATTATAATTTACTGCAATCCCCTTCTGATTTTTAATCATCAAATCATTAAGCAGTAATAAAACTGCAGTTACTGATACCAATATTTAAATGGAAATTCATATATTTAACAGAAGTTCAATATTTTTAGTGTAATGGTATTAATTTTGAGCAAAGCCCAATACATAATATAGTCTTACTTATGTTCGTAGCTCCATAATACCATTAACATAAGAAAAAAACTGAAATGATATTAAACAAGCACTGACATTAACAAACATACTGGTAAGTTTGACTTACCGGTAGATACCGGTAAGTCAAAAACACGCTTTACAATTCAAATATCTTATTACATAGAAAATACATTTCTTTTAAACTCTGTAACATAAGAATATACTGTGTAAAATATTTGAATGTTATTTATATTTGAATGTTATATTTATGCAATTAGGATAATTATTTCATTCAGGAATGTTTCGAACAATGTATTTTATTACAGGCGTAGCATCTTCAAAATAGTTAGTACTCGTTAGCAAATGCTCATTTCCAAGTCATCGCTTCACTTTCGTCGCCAAGAAACAATAAAACTGCATTGCAAGAGTATTATATTCGTTTAATAAAAACACCTATGTCAAGAACCTGTAATATCATTGAAAGGTTCTTAACTTTATTTAACAATAAATTTCTCTTATTACGCTTAACATCATATCAAACAAACTAGCATACAAAGATTAAAAAACATTTGAAGAATTATGTCAAAAACAGATTTATTAAGAAGTAAACTAATATCGTTTAAGAATCACAAATATCATATTAAAGGGACACATTTCATTTAAATATACCAATACGGATTTAAGAAGTTGTTACTTACCTGAGGAAATTATCACAACAGAATGAAAAAGAGTTATGGCTTGAATTATGCAATGCATTGATAACAACTTGTTGCTAAGTAGCATGCTTTTTTAAAAAAATGTCCAAAATAGATAATGCCACACCCCCTATATTTTAAACTACAAAGATACAAAGCAATTAAAACAAACAGATCTAGCTCAAAACGTCAGTCTTCTAAAGAAAACTGTTATGGCCTCTATACAGAAGCTTACACTGAAGCGAATATTAGCGCCACATAGTGAGGAAGAATGAAACGAAAAGCACTGAATTAAATGTTTCAGAATGAAAGTGAAAATATAAAAAATGGAGGAAATATTTATTTAATGTAAGCATTAAAGAAGTTTTGGAAAATAACCTTTTGTTCTTATCAGCAGATATTAAACTTTTATCCAAATATTAGGATTATATGCAAATATAAACTCCTATATTTATTATTCTTTGAAAAATAAAGTTCAGAAAAGTTTTCCCGGTCCTAATTACTTGTAACAAGCCCAGCACAAAATTTGAACCATTTTTCTTGCTGCGAACAAACATAACTTTGCCATACGTAAAAGCAGCTCCATGATAACATAATTTTAATTTAATATCACTGAAAATCACTAAAACTATTTAAAATGCAGTGAAATCAAATTTTATGAAAAGTAATATGAGTTTTAAATTTACTTACCTTTTCTCTTAGATTACCTTGTTACGTAAAAAATTTCAGGCAGTATTTCTTTTCTGTTTTTCGGAAGAGAAAAGAGAACAGTGTTCATGAACAGAGTATCAAATAATAACTTATGAAAAATCCCCAAAAATATATTGCCTAATGAAACGATATATTCAGTTTCTATGAGTTTAGCTTCTGTAGCAGGACAGCAGTCTTAATTATCATTACATAAAGTTAAACAAAATAGCATGTTGAACAAAAAAGACAATTATTAGTAATACATTGTATTTCAACAACCATTAGAAAATACT